CTCAACCAACTTAGCAGGAGCCATCCTATAGGGAGCCACCGACACTGGCCCCGCACCTGGAACCAAGTCAATGCTGAACTCCATCTCCCTAACAGGAGGCAACCCAGGCACTTTATCAGGGAACACCTCAGCAAAATCCCTCACCACATCAATCTCAGCAATGACCCTTTCGGTCTCCACACTCATAGCAGCAAGCAGAAGATAACACTCTACTCCATCTCTCAGCAATGATTCAGCTTGGCCAACTAAAATCAATAGCTCATCCTCCACCTGAGGAAAGATTAGTCTCCTATTAGCACAATCTATAAGGATGCGATTGGCAGACAACCAATCCATCCCTAAGATTTTGTCAATGTCCACCAAAGGTAAATAGATCAAGTTCACCTTATACCTCTTCTCATTCACAACAATCGGACAACCAGCACACAGCTCAGAAGCAACTACCGAAGCAGAAGCGGGCGTCGACACAAGCAGTCTCAACCCTAAATCACACACCGGCACACCCAACATAGCAGCACAAGCATAAGATATAAAAGAATGAGAAGCACCAGAGTCAAAAAGAATCACCACATCCTTACCAGCAGCTCTACCCTTCCCCTTCACAAGATCAGAGGAAGTAGAAGTTTCAGCCCTAGTCAAAGCGAATACTCTTCCAACTGTAGTAGGTCTGTCACCCCTCTGAGCATCGCCTCTCTGGGCACCACCCCTCTGAGCATCTCTCTCCGATCTGTTCCTAGCGGGACAGTTGGTCGACTCATGACCCATCTGATGGCACTTGAAACACCGGCTCTCCGTGTGTGGACAACCCCTGACCAAATGGGGCCCAGCACACCTATAACATCTGAGAGTGGCACCTCCACCCTGTCTCCCTCCACTAGCAACATCAGAAGGTTGCCTAATGACAGGACCCCCTTGCTGTGGTTGGGGCCTATCATATGGCTTCCTCTGATTTCCTCCTCTCTTGGACCCAGCTGGTCCCTCAGCAATCTTAGTCACACAGTTTCCACCTTCCAACCGCTCAACAACCTTCGCCTTCTCCACTAAGGCCAAAAACTCAGTGATGGCCATACGCACCACCACCCTCTTCAGCTCATGCTTTAGACCCTCAACAAACTTCCTGCATTTCCAGGCCTTAGATATAACTTGCGAATAAAAACGAGCCAGGTGCTCGAATCTCATCACATACTCAGATACTGTCATCCCACCCTGGTGCAACCGCATAAACTCAGCCTCCTTGGCGTGCCTCACGCTCTCAGGGAAGTACTTCTCCAAGAACACCCTCCTAAAGCACTCCTAATCAAAAACCACTCCTCTAGTAGTTAGCATATGGTGAGTACCCCTCCATCAATGCTCAGCCTCCCCAACCAGCATGTACACAGCATATGCCAGCCTCCTCTCCTGAGAAAATCCCAACACAGTGAAGATCTTCTCCAGCTCACAAATCTAGTGGTCAGCTACCTCTAGATCTACATCTCCCTTGAACTATGGAGGATGGCATTTCCGGAACTCAGCAAGATCCCGACTTTCCTGTGACCCCACGGGCCTTGCTGCACCAGCCGCAACTCTATTAGCGTCCATCTGAGCAAAATAGGCATTTTGCTGCTGCATAGCCATAGCCATCATCTCCATGGCACGGGCTATTTGCTCATTGGTTCTAGTCATTGTCTACAAAAGTAACAGCATCTTCAGTATACAATAACTAAACCAAACAACAAACAACAGCACAACAATCAACAAAGAAATCAGCACAGCAAAACAACACAACAAAACAACACAACACAGAGCTCAACACAACAAAAGCCTAAAGGAACCACCCCAAAGTCAGATAATATTGAAGACTTAAAGGGTCATGGGCCAAGAGGAATAAGGACTGAGATGTGGGACGGATTAGTAGGTATATGGGCAACACAAGAGTGGAAAAGGAAATCTATTGCGGGTAAAAATAATAGGGCTTCCAAACCTGATGCTATGGTGCACACTGGAGGGTCAAGAAGCTTTGGACGACACTTAAGAAAAATGGTATTCATAGTCAATACTTTTTCTATTAATATTGACAATTCATTTTTATGTTAAGCTCTGTCATAATATGTTACAATTGTATGATAAATGGCTTTTGGTTCTTTGTAATATGCTTGGCTAATTATACTTGATAAAAATTTCTTTTGTATCATAAATATTATAACTTTATACTATTATGTTTTTATTGATTGTGGTTTATTAATTAAATGTGTTTATGTATTTATCTTAAATTGCATATTATTTCACAGGAAGCAGAGCATAAACGTCCTATTTCTTATGGTGAATTGTACAACAAAGTTCATAAAAGAAAAGATGGTGAATATGTCTCTAACAAAGCCAAAAATTTCATTGTAAGAGTGTGTATATATTTTTAATGTAAAAATTAAACATTGTTTATCTATTACTATATATACCTTGATACATTTTTTTTTGTAGGAATCATATGAAAATGCTATGGCTGAAAAGTATGGGGAAGACGCATCAAAGCATCCTATAGTTGACACTGATGTTTGGACACAAATTTCTGGTGAAAATAAGAAAGGTAGAATCCACGGCATGGGTCATAGCTTAGATCTTAGCATTACTATGCATGGTTCATCTTCAACGGTTGTAGGTCCCTCTACCACACCTGTTAGAGAAGACATCACTACATTAGCTACACAAATGTCTCAAATGCAAGAACAGATGCAGTCACAATTGAATCTACAAACACAATCCCAAATGCAATTGCAGACACAACTACAAGCACAGATGGAGGCACAATCACAATATATGCAGGCACAATTGAAGGCACAAGCTGATATGCAAGCACAAATGCAGGCACAAATGAAGGCACAAGCAGAAATGCAAGCACTTTTGCAACAACAAATGCAGGAACAAATGCAGGCACAAATGCAGTTTTTGAGGAAAGAGATATTACCTGCCTTAAAGATTCCATCACCATCATCAGTCAAAAAACCTGGGAAGAATCAAGAATGAAAATGTTGAATTCTAGTTTTTTTTATTTACATTAGCATTGTTAACTCACTTGAAGAGTTTTATTATATTAGTTGGTATTGAGTATTTTTATTATGTTAGTTGGTACTGAATATTTTTATTATGTTGGTAATTCAGAATTGTTTTAGTTAGCCTTTAGTATTTTTATTTTATTTGATGCCAGTTGATGACACAATAATATATTTGATATGCAAAATATAGGTACTACAATCTTGATATCAAAACAAAAAAACTATGATAGTTATAGTATGAAAAATGCAAGTAAAGATGAATATATGAATATTAAAAATAAAATTGCGACAAAATAGTAAGGATTAGTGATGATAACCAAAACATAACAGTAAGGGATCTGCTAGGAAATAGCGAGGCATATCATGTGAAAGACAAAATAGTGAGGGAAAAAAGAGCAAATAGCTAGGAAAATATAGCGAAGGAATAGCGAGACAATTGCTAGGGAAATATTGCGAGGGAATAGCGAGACAATTGCTAGGAAAATATTGCGAGGGAATAGCGAGAAAATTGCTAGGGAAATATTGCGAGGGAATAGCGATAAAATTGCTAGGGAAATATTGTGAGGGAATAGAGAGACAATTGCTAGGGAAATATTGCGAGGGAATAGCGAGACAATTGTTAGGGAAATATTGCTAGGGAATAAAGAAGGATCTGCGAGGGATATTCAGCGAGGGAATTGCAAGGCCTTAGCCAAGAAATGCAGCAAGGGAATAGAGAGGGGTTTGTGAGGGAACATTAGCGAGGGATTAGCTACAAATTAGAGAGGGATATTTTGCGACCCCTTAGCGAGGGAATAGCGGGGAAGCTTGACCGCAAATTAGCGAGCAAATAGTAAGCATCCTTAATATAATTAGCGAGGGATTGGCGACGGATTTTGCGAGGGATTGGTGACGGATTAAATCCCTCGCTAATTAACTACCTGTATTTAGCGAGGGAATGGTCTCTCGCAATTTCATCACTATTCCGTCGCAAATCTGATTAGCGAGGGATCAGAGACGAAATAGCGAGGGAATAGTCCCTCGCTAATATGTAATTTTCTTGTAGTGATTGATCTTGACTCTAGTATAATTGTTAACCCAATTACACTTAAAAATTGACATTCTAAAACTTGTGTAATCAACCAACCATATGTCTTGAATGATCCCAAAGTAGCATAAAGAAGTTGTAACATGGTTAGGATCTTTAGAAGTTTAGATATATTGTGACTCAACCATTTCTTAGACATTTGTGGATAATTTTTTTTCCACCAATTATGAGCAGTTAGATAAGGTACAACTTCATCGATGTTATCCAATATATACAAATGTGTTTGCAACACTTCTTGTCATGTGTAACTCACAATCTTTGCACTTTTTAAACCCTTACCAACAAATCTTCCATGATGACCCACAAGTTCAACTTTCAATAGGTATTCGGTAAAAAACTTAATAGCTTCCTCTGCAATATATCTTTCAACAATTGATGCTTTTGAAAAATGTTGGTTTTTCACATACCCTTTCAATATCTTCATGTATCGCTCAATTGGGTACGTCCACCGTAAGAACACTAGACCACAAAATCTAACTTCTCTAACTAAATGCACAATTAAGTGAACCATGATGTCAAAAAGTGATGGAGGAAAATACATCTCCAATTGGCACAATATAAGAACTACTTCATTTTGTAACTCATCCAACATCTTAGGATTAATTAATTTACTACAAATTGCATTAAAAAAGAAACAGAATCTAAAAATGTCATATCTAACATTCTTAGGTAAGATGTCATGAATGTCACGGGGAGAAATTATTGCATCAATATGTAAGAATCGTGAGATACATGATTAATACATAAAGCTAAAGTCTCAAACATTAAATTTGACAAAATTTTGGCAATATTTTGCATTGGTCTTTATGTACACAAAATGAAAATGGTGACATCAAATTCACCATAATCAAGTATGTACCCAGAGAACAACAAGAAATGAAGTTAACCAAAATCTTATCAAATTTAAAATGAGACTTAACCTCACTATATGTATTAGTTAACTATAAAATTTATATCTTTTCAAACTGTCCAAACAGACAGTTAAAGATTCAATATAATGATTATACATTAATTGTGTAACCATTGTATTCAATCTCAAAAGAGAAACTAAAGTTCACTCAAAATCGATCAATTAATAATCTTAATAGAGTAATATAAATTATGTCAAATAAATCCAAGTCATATTATGAATTTATTTAACTATGTACATTATGGGTGTACACATATAATATTTATAAATTTTGTTAAATATTACTCAAATATACTCTAAAAGAGTAAAATATAAAAGTCCATTATAACAAATAAATAAACTCTCAAATGAGTCCCCAAAACTTATTCACTACTTTGTAACAAAATAACCACATTAATAATCTATTATAATAAGCACACAAAAAAAAACTCACATGCAACTACCCCACAACAGTCCCAAACCAACACATCTTATGGAGCACCCATTTCACAATACCAACAACTTATGAACCCAAACCATGTCCACAATATCTCAAAAACACTTGGTAGTACAATAAAAATCATATAGACAATACCAACAACAAAAATCATAAACACAATGAAAACTTAGACAATAGAGCAAGCCAAAGTTCACAATCAAACAGTACCAACAACATAAACTCAAAGTTAACAAGACTTAGAAACATAGAGGGACTGAGCAAACTAGAGAACAAACATTAAAGAAAGGAACTAACTAAACAAACAAGCTTGAACAAAGCAAGCATGGCTTGAACCAACCTAAATAGAAGGACAACAAACACACACAAAATGCATCATATTATATTCTGAAAACATGAGGAAACCCTAAAATTAAATAAGCAAATAAAGAAAAAGAAGAAGAAGACAAACCTAGATGGAGCTCACATTTGTCGCGTTGGACTAGGTTGGGAAAGAAAAAGAAAAGGAGTAGGTCCATGGTGATTGTTGGAAACAGATAGCTTAGGGCTTGAGGTGGTCGTCGAAAATAAGGGAAAACCACTCGATGGGACAATGTGTGCAAATGGATTCACTAAAGTGAAGAAAGAAGATGTGAATGGGTTCGCTCTCTCATTGTGACCTAATAAAAGGGCATTTTGTGTCTTTATTCTTTCATTAGCATTTTTCTTCATGTGTTGTTGTGCTTTCTACAAGTGCATCTTTAATCTACTGAGTGTTGCATCCCTTTGTGCAAGCTAATCTTGAACACTAGGAGAGTCTTGTCTCCTAACTGTATACTTAATTACATGAGGTGGATCTCTACCATAAACATCCTTGAAGGGTGTCATGCCTGTACTTAGCTAGAAGAAGGAGTTGTACCAAAATTCTACCCATGGCAACAATTTATACCACTCCTTAGGATTCTCATAAGTAAAACACCTTATTAAATACATTTCAATGCATTTATTTAGAGTCTTAGATGGACCATCAATTTGAGGATGGTATGCAGTGCTTAATTTCAAAGTAATACCACTTAACTTAAAAAGGTGTTGCCAAAATTGACTAGTGAACACCTTATCTTTATAAAAAGACAATAGTTTTAGGAAAACCATGCAACTTTACTATGGTCCTCATAAACAACTCGGAAACATGCTTACTATTAAAGTCAGATTTCAAACTAACCAAATGATCATACTTGAATAGCCTATCAATGACCACCATAATGACAGTGTGTCCATTAGAATGAGGAATGTCAATGATGGAATCCATGGCAACATCTTCCCAGATTTTATATGGAATTGACAATGGTGCTAGCAACTCAGATGGTAGAGTTGTATCATGCTTGGCCTGTTGAGAAATTAGACAATTTTGCACAAACTCCTTAATGTCTTTTTGCATACCATGTCAGCAAAATTGAGCTGCAATTCTTTGTAATGTTCTAGTGAATCTTGAGTGTCCACCCAACAAGGTATTGTGGAACTCATGCAAAATTTTATGCACCAGATCATGTCCCTTTGGTAAAACCAATCTACCTTTCCAATAAAGTAATTGACCACAAACTGAATAATGAAGATTAGAAGGCTTGTTCTACAAACAAAGTTGCATAATTGCACGCAATTGATTGTCTTTTGTAATAACTTCTTTTAATTCTGGAATCAGTTGTAGTTTAGGATGAGATAGTGCCATCATGAATGATCTAGAAAGAGAATCAGCAGCCACATTATCCTTTCCATGTTTATACTCAATGGTGAAGTCATAACCTATCAACTTATGCAACCAATTCTATTGTTTAGGTGTATAAACAACTTGGTCAGTGAGTGATCCAAGACTCTTTTGATTAGTCTTGATAACAAACTTATGGCCAAGTAGATAATGTCTAAATTTAGCTATTGCTTAAATGATAGCAAAAAACCCTCTTGCATAGGCTGACTGTCGCTACATCCTAGCATTAAGCTTTTTGGAAAAAAATAAGTAATAAGATGTTGTTGTTTACTTAAAACAACACCTATACCCACCCAAGAGGCATCTATTTCAAGAGTGAATGGTGTTGAAAAATCAGGTAAAGCCAAAACTAGTGCTTGTGTAATTTCCTTCTTGAGCATGGAGAAAGCTTTATTGGCATCCTCTCCTATAGAAAATTATCCTTCTTAAGCAAATTAGTCAAGGGAGCAACAATTACGGCATAAGATTTAATAAATTTTTTATATTAACTAGTGAGTCCAAGGAACCCGTGCAACTATTTAATATTTTAAGGTATTGGTCATTGTTAAATTTCTTGTACTTTACCTTTATCCATTGCGACTCCTTGTTTTGAAACTATATGCCCAAGATAGGCCACTTGTTGTAAACCAAATGAACATTTAGATAATTTTGCATATAGTTGGTGTTGCTACAACAATTGAAGGACCAATTCAAGATGTAGGAGATGTTCTTTCATAGAAGAACTATATACTAAAATATCATCAAAGAATACCAAAACAAATTTTCTAAGAAACTCCTTGAAAACATCATTCATGAGGTTTTGAAATGTGGTTAGGGCCTTAGTAAGCCCAAATGGCATAACCAGTCATTCATAATGTCCTTGGTTGTTTCTAAAAGCAATTTTATGTCTATTCTCAGCAACAACAAA